TTCAATATATCTAGATATATTTACGCTTCAAGCCCAAAGTAGATAGAATTTATAAAGAAATTCATGCTTGGACTTTAAGAAATGTCATTTTAGCGTGATTTGAGTACATATAAATCATTTAAATATTTTGTCATTTATTTGCCTGTGTATCTCTTTAAAAATTAAAAGCAGTTTTCTGATTTGAAAGTTTAATAATATAATAGACAAAACAGCAAAAAATGTCCTAAAGTAAGTCAAACGTATCACACCAAAAACTTAGTAGTCCGTTAAATATTTACTACTTTTCTACAAGCTTTGATCTAGAAACAAAATAATGTTTTACATTGTTTTAAGTAAAAATCTGCATTTACTCAGAAATCATTTTATGATCATTAGAACTTCACACTACATCTGTCGGTAATCTAAATTATTTGTGGTGCCAAACTACGACACATCATTTCACTGTTTAATATCTTTCAAAGTGCAGACTTTGGTTAGAAACGCCAAATAATTGGAGTTTTAAAAAAAATATATAATGTAATTATATTTCCAGGACGTAACAAAAATGGAAACACATATTCAACATCGATGTCAGGTGTAGCATGTAGCAAGATTTCAGATTTTCAGGGTATTTTTCCCGTTAGTTTTGTTTATCTTCTGTTGTTTTTTTTCTCTGCTTTTAGTAAAAACGCGACTTCATACTTTTCGTTTTAAAGAATACATTTATGTAAATAAATTAGGAACAAAAAAAATTTTCAACTATGCCACATAAAACATTTTTTGCTGTATATTTTAATAATTATTTTTAGTTCTCTGTAACATTCTACTGCAGCTAACGGCAATCTTTTATGTGTTTGATGCCAAAAATATGATAAACACTAACAACGTATTGTTCGTGTACGTGCTGATATGTGCATACTCAAGAATAAACGTCCAATAATAGTCAAACATAGGTGTCATCTGCACCGCCTGAAGACATTGAAACTGGCAAAGCATCATAATTGTTTATGACTGATCCGATAATGTTTACTAACTTTCCACTAAAGTTGCTCTAAGGGTATCTTAACCCAAATCCTGTTGTTTTTTTGTTGGTTTTGCCTAAAAATCTTTTTTGTGTTTGTGTGTGTTTTTTTACAGTCTCAGAAGGCAATACAGCTGAACCATTTCTACTTTTTGACCGTTAGAAAGGTCACGATTGATTAAGTATTTTAAATGGTAGACAAAATAGTACTTTGTTTAAGATTGGCTATTATGACAAATTATTGCACATCCAAAATAGTTTATTTCACATGATAAGCATCTAAAATGCTCTAAATTTAATATTAAAACATTGAAAAACTTTAACTTGAGGAAAAATGCCTTTAAATCTACAGTATTGTCTTATAACAGTTTCCCATTGCCTTCCTGCTCGATAATATGAATGCATGTCATATTATTCATGTCTTCATTGTTTTGTAAATGTACGAAAAGCAAGTTGTAAAGTCCAAACAAACCAAAGTTTGATAACAATTTAATGGTTGTACTGACATCAAATAATTTATAACATTTATTCCTTTGATTACATTCAAAGACATTTATGACGATAAGCAATATTCAATCGTTCGAAAAATAATTTTAACAGTTTAGTTATCTGTCAGACTTTAAGAGTTGATCACTTTCTTATATTGTATTATAGTGTCTACTTGAAAGTCCTACAGATAATGATATGATATTACATTAAAAAAACATACCAAAAGTATAATTCTATCAATAGGATGAGTATAATATGTACATATTCCACAAATGTTTTGTTATTTCTTATAGAAAGGTGGTACGTATAAAGAGCAACTGGTTAAAATAATGTTTTTTTATTTCAAACAATCTTATAAGCTGAAACTATGTTGTTAGCTTAAACAATGTTATAAGCTAAAACAATGTATTTAGCTTAAATAATGTTATTGGCTAAAGCTATGTTGTTAGATGAAACAATGTTATTAGTTAAAATACTGTTATTAGTTAAAACTATGTTGTTAGTTAAAATAATGTTATAATCTAACACTTTTTTGTTCGCTCAAACAATATTGTTAGCTCAAACAATATTATTAGGCAAAATAATGTTATAAGCTTAAATAATGTTACTTAATTTAATTTAGCAAAAAATATTCATTTAAGACCGATTGTGAAACAGGTTCTTGCATCTTATATAATCACATTAATATTAATCTATATCTGTGACTCTAATAACCAATACAGGTGTCATTTGACAAGTGAAATTTGGCCATGACAAGAGCAAAGCTTGGATTTACACCTAATGGGTTGGGAGGCATTTTTACCATTGCTATTTATTTTTAAATTAGAATTTGTCGATCGCTTACGTAGAAAAGAAAGCAGAACGAAGACACAATTGTATATGCAGTCTACCAGAAAGTCAAAAATATACAAATTAGAATTTATCTATAATAGAATATCTATTAGATATATCATCTTAAAACTTCAGACCTATGCTGTTTATTTCCGAATTAAAATTTGCCGATAGATTATGCAGAAAGGAAGCAGATACAGTGCACCAGAAAGTAAGGAAAGTACATGTACTTTTCACGATTTAGTTTATTTATATCCTCTCAAAGCTTCAGACCTCAAAAGTATGCAGACATTTGATTAAATCATTCCTGACAAATGTATTCAGGTATTAACGATTTTGATAAACCACCTGAAGTCGTTAAATACGTTAGGTTATCATTTACGTGTTTTTATGACTGTAAAGTGATGATATAAGAGTTAATGGAAATCGTTATATCAAGACGAGTATAGTTATATAAATACATACTTATGAACATTATATCTTTGCTAAGTGTATCAGAAATGGGATTTAAACGACTTGATAATTCATCATAAGTAAGCCCAAATTATTCTAAAAATTTTCATTTCATAAAAGGTTTAAGAAGAATTACAAACGAGCAAGCTGCAAAAAAAATACACTTTCGATTTAGAGCTTCTATGTCCCAAAATCCTTGTTTTTTTTGAAAACACATATATTAAGGCTATGAAAAAATGAAATGTTATTTCTGCTTTTGAAAGGGCAAACATGAGTTTCATAACGTTTCAATAACAGTTTTAAAGTATGTTATATATTTATCATCTAATTGTTTGTCATAAAAATATCAAAATATAAGCAATAAAGTATTTTGACTTATATAAAAATACTCAATCCCTATAACTGTTCTTATTACAAAAAGCAACAGAAGCAAGGTATGATTCAGATATCTGGCCAATTAACAGAACAAGAAAATCTTTGATAAGAGAAAAATAAAACCATCTCTTTGGCATAATGAGATTTTCTGATCACTACTTAAACGGGTCATATTTGGGAAACTATTTCCTTCTGATTCACGGTCGCATACTGTATTGTTCTTTCTGATAACATCATTGAATCTCGTTGCGTTTTGGTCATTTTGTATGAATAAGTGTGTAAAACATGCATTGCATGTAATATTCGACACACAAAAAAAAACTATTTCCTTACATATTATTATTTTATCCAATCCTATATTTATAAGCCAATAACGTTAATATTCTTACATTGATTATGGCATTCTTACATTGATAAACGCAACAATGATAATAAGTGTACGTTAGCATTCTCGTGAGCAACTTGCACTAACCAAATTGATTGCTCTCGGTTTTATTTGTAAATAACTACGACTGGAAATGTAAATAATTTGCCCGCCGCAGAGAAAAGTTAGTAAACATTCTGTGATAACCATTATCAAAATCAATTTATTTTAAAAACATTTACTGAAAGGAACTATTTGAATAAACGTTAATTGACTACTTGTTATTTCAAAAGTTTTACGTCGTTAAGGGTATACATATTTATTGGGCTGTGCTGTATTTAACAAATTTTTATTGGTATTTTGAGATTAACCTACAAAATTAATTTGAATTGAATTGGTGTTTGTAAGTTTTTGATAAAGAGGTAATTCATCGACAAACTTATAGCAATAGCAACTTAATAATATGTGAGTGATTATTTTTTCATTTTGATTCTTGTAGATCTTTATTCCATATGGTTTACATCTCACATACACTTGTGCATGGTACAACTCTCCAGATATGATATACAAACAATAGCTATGTGTTTATTTAGTTTCCTTTTTAATTTTCTATGGGGCATTTCGCTAGTATAGTTCAAAGAGACTTCATTGAGTTTTTTGGTGTGTTTTTTTGGCATGTTCGGACTACAAACATTTTTCGAGATTTGTGCATTATTTGATGTAGGTTTTGACCAATAACTTGTATGCAAATCTTTTAGATCATTTTCCTTCAACCAGTTTTTCCAGAATCATCATTTATATTGTGCAAAATGACCAAAAATGAAAGCATTTTAACGCTTTTCACTAAATCGTGATGAGAATCAGACAAAAAGATAAATTCCCATTAACTTTTGAGCATATTTCTTTATTATTCTTTGTAGATTTTCCAATTTTAAGTCACTTGATCTAAGCAAGAAGTTCAAATATCATGTACAGTGTATATAGGCTTTTGATCTCCTTTAACTCCGCTTTAAAGTGAATTTAGTCATGTATTGATCTAAAATACTAACAGCACAGTCAAACTTTTGTCACTTTTTTTATAGATTTTATTTTTACAACGTAAAGTAATGGAATTTCTGCCATATTGTAACTAACGCCTATTCAATTTCAGCTTTTTAATTTATAATAACAATATATGACATGACAAAATGAATACGTTAAATGCATGTTTTATGAGAATAACAAAAACAAAATAACTTGTGGTAGCAATTCCTTAACAGAAGTGCACCACTAAAATTATGTTTTAAAAACTTTGTTGTCACATGACTGTAATTTTTTCTGCAGCTGCTTTGAACGACTGAAATCTTATAAAACGACCGCTTTGAAATGTGTTCCGTCAATAATCAACCAATATTTTATACAGTACTATTACTAATAGGTTTTTAAGTAAATCCTTATCATGCATTATTTGTGCCTTTATCATTTCTAAAATGTGAGACAACAACTTACCTTGCCATTAACCCAAGCTGCTGTCACCGACACGATCGTCATCTGCAGGAGAATAAAGCACAGCCAGAAAAGGTTTATCAGCACTAAAGATATATGAATATCAATTGTCGTCACCATTGTGTATAAAACCAGACAAAACATTGGAATATTCGCAATAAATACTGCAGCAATCATAGGTGCGAATATGCGGTCCAAAATGTCAACCAGAGTCACCAAACTTTGATGACGTAACCGGAAGTCCTCTATTCTTCCATTAAAATCATCATCGGCGATTGCAGTGGCAAGGTCGTCGGTGAATTTCTTTAACTGCTCACCGACAGCAAACGATAAAACAACAAACAAGGACACCGGAAACATTGAGGAGGATGAATTCAACACAGCCAGAATCCCAAGTATGGTTTTAAAAATAGCATGGTCTTCATACATCACGGCATTTTTCCAAACCACTTCAAGGTAAATGTTTTTCAATATCGGTACGTATACGAGGATTAGAGAAAACACGACCGAATTGAAAATTATAAATATAAACGTAAGAAACAGAAATTTCTTCATCATGAAACGGCACATTTTGTTAAGTTTGACATTACCGCATGTGTTGTCCCATTCGTGGAAAAACTTTGGGAGGCCATTTTGTTTGTAACAGTTCCACATCAGTAAAAGGCCTTTAAACGTACATTCAGTGCTCCATATTGTGAAAAGCAATCTCTGTACAAGAACATTGTCAAATTCATCCGCGACTCTGTAGACAGTAAATGACCTTAGAACGTTCATCACCATTAGAAAATTAACGATAAAACAATACAGTACAATAACTTCCATTTGCGGTTTGTTGTTACGGCCTCGAAAAGTAGTCCGTTTAAAGAACAGGCCAAACATTCGCATACATATAAGCAGTGGCCTCAACTGGCGGTAAATTTCCATCCCTGTGTAGTCATTGTACTCACGGGAAGTCCTAGGTTCGAGCTCAACTGTGACTGCGTGGTTTCCGTTGTCGTCTGCATCTTGTCCGTGACCTTGACCCTCAGTGCAGAGACCATTTTTGTTGATAAATTCCTTACAATCATTTTTAATCCGAGTCCGGTGCATTTTTGTACTTATACACTGTTCTATATATTGAATACAGAAGCTCACTTGAAGATAATCCAATTCCTCGCCGCTAGATCTTCTTTGAAATAATACTATAAAAACTGAAGCTTATTAGTTTTCAAATTTGAAAAACATCCCCTCCCATTTATAATCATTTGTCACTATGTAATGTTGTGATTTCTTCAGTTTCGAAAACAGTTCCAAAATATATAAGACGAATTCATATCACTCTAAATATCCGAAATTCTGGTGCCAGTGTTCAGAATAAAGATAGACTAAGTTCCGAGCATCTTTGCACAAATATTAAAGCTGAAGAGCGCATTGAATGCGCTTTTAAAAGAGGGCCAATTAAGCCTTAACAATCCTGCAAAATCATACTGAATAATAATATGACAGAGACAACATATTTTATCGACGTTTTAATGTCAATTTGTATGATTTAGATAATAATAGAGAAAGTCTGAATCGTCAATTAAATTGAATTAATGACTTTTGTAATAATATAATGATAAATCTGTGTTTGTTTATTTCAGTGTAACTAGTATATTTTAATGTTCAGTGATATCAAATGATGTAAGTTTTCAATTTAATGATGTTTGTAAGCATAAATAGTAAAACAATCTATGAAAATATATAATGTATTTTAACATTAACTTTTGATCATAGCATGACAAATTCATTGACTTCTGTGTACAAGTAATTAAAAGTAATGATGCACTTATTGCAGTGAATACAAAAGTATCTTAAATCAACCTAGTTTTCCAAAGTTCTTACATATCAAATATCTTACTTAAAAAACAAAATTGTGTTCAATTTTCCAATTACTGTTTCACTTCTTAGAATATTAAATAAGATTTCATTAATTATAATACTAATGATACATATTTTGAAATTCGAGATGTTGTATGGTTGTTTGGTATGCTATATTTTTCATTATCATCATGCTGTCATGTATTCTTAATTAAATCTGTAATCAGTCTATTTTGTTAATAAATAGTAACCATATTGAATGCAAGCTAATGGTTTTTTCTTGATAATTAATTGTATAAATTATATACATTTTATTTTATCATCGCGTTCTCATGTATTCAAAATTAAATATGTCATCAATTCATTTTTAGATTATTACAAAAAAATGTATTCTTTACAAAAAGATTATTGTTAATGTTTCATTTGATAAAAGAAAGATGTACTTTTGTTAGAATATTCTTACTCCTTACTCAACTATGTTCCAAAATGAAAATCCGAATGGTTCAATTAGTAGTAAACTCTTTTACTTTTTTTTGTGTTAACATATATCGTCATATGAAACAATTATACATTTGTATATCCTTTTTTTCTATATTTTCTTGTGGCAAAAACACTAATACATCCGTTTTATAAGCCAAAATTATAGTTATTTCCACACAATAAATGTAGTGATTTCCACAATTCATTCCCGATTGTTAATTAGTGCCTCACTTACTCAAGTAAACGTCACAATTTTTCACGCAAGAAAACTACTATCATTCTTATAACTTTTATGTCTTTTAATGTTCAAATAACAAATATAGTCTGACTGGCTAATTCAAATCAGTCGTTATCATTCGTAGTCCCTTCGATCAACAGTTTTCATTTTCTTACTATGCCTAATTTCGTTGCCGCTCTCTTTAAAAAGTTCGGCTGCTGTAGCTGCGAAAATAATTCAGTTGCCTTCCCGATAACATTATCTAGATCTATAAACAAAGCGAATAGACGATTCTCATTTCAATATACAAAATACTGAAATTTTGGGCAAAATATTTTGATTGCTGCGTAGCATGATTTTCATTATAAAATTTTACATGAGAAAAAAACAAACTTTTTAGATATTTATGAAATTGCTGCAATTTCTTTTGCAAGATTAACAGAAACGTTAACACTCAAAATCGATTTGACTTATATATATCGAAACAATCACCCGAAATATAAATGAAAAATCCGGTAAGATTAATCATATATAGGTATGATAGGCACGAAGTAACTCTTGATGTATGATAAGAATGAATAAACATTTCTGATTTGAAACGAGCTGAAAGGTGCGAAAACTTAATTTTTTTTGGAATTTATTGTTTTTACAAAATAGATAGTGAAAGGATAGGGAATGATTTTTCAAGTGCAAACACATAAAATATACAAAATGTATTTTCTAAGTTTGTAGACATTTATTTATATGGCACTTCAAAGTAATTTACAGAATAGAAACAAAATGATGAGTGATATATTTTAAATTCTATCACGCTATAAACTATTCTCCTACCAAACAGATAGGGCAGTCAAGTACATGTACAAAATTGCACAATATGTGCACAACATAAAAAACGAATGCTTTCACGTCATATGATGCCCGATATTGACGTCTGTTAACCAATTAACGTCGGAAAATTACTGATACACATAATGTTATTCAGTATATTTTTATCCATTCTCTATTAGATTAGCATGTATGGAAATAGATATCATTTTTTCTTATATTATAGTGTATCGTTCAATTGCTTTGTAATTAATCGCTCAGGCCTATTGGCCTTCGTGATTGTATTCCTACCCATTTGAACTCGAACCGTATATTATTCTACAACAATGCACTCAAAATTGATGTCTATTTCCTAATTAATTTGTAAATATTTGTTAAAATTAAAAATTTTCGTTTTTACATCACAAAGTAAAAAAAACTATCAAATTAGTGACAAGTTTTGATTAATATAAAATCTGAATCAGCAAAAGAATCGTGAAGGGAAATAATATGTCGACTATCAATGTTAAAGAAGTTCCTCTGAGGACAAAAACCCTTAAACATAAAAATGATTTTTATAAAGATCAAGTAATGCACTTTCATTAGAAAAAAATCTGCCGAAGATAATCATGAAATTGCAAATCGATTGTTAGTACAAATCTTAGCACAGTCTTGGTCATTTTGTGCAATAAAAATGATTATTCTTGAAACTTTGGGTAAAATGAATGATCAGAAAAATATGCACACAAGTTACTTGATGAGGCCTTATCAAATTATGAACAAATTTCAGAAAATTTATTTCCTGTCCATTCATATAAAAAAATCTAAGCGGAGTCCCTTTAATGCACATCGTACTAGAATGTTCATTTACTATAACAGAAAAATACTGGCTGGCCAAAAAACAAATCGTTATTATGCCAAATTACTCTAAGCTCTTTGTATTTCGTGAAAACATAAAGTAATAATTATGGCATGATAAATGTGACTGCATTATCATTAATGCGTCCAAATATATACCGTGAGTATAGTGACCATATATTAATGAAATAAAGCTGTAATTTGCTAGGTTTTTCTCATGATATTGACCTTGATTCCAAATCTTAATTAAACGAAAGACATGCATATGTTTTATACAATCTGCAATGACTTTAACAGGTTTATGAATAAATCTATAAATCGATTTTTTTTTAAAAAACAATCAAACAAGCAAATCAAATCAATAAGAATAAAAAAATCTATGAAATAATCAATCAATTAATCAATCAATCAATCAATCAATCATTTATTAATTCATTTATTCATTCATATATTCATTCATTAATCCATCAATCCATCAATCAATCAATCAATCAATCGACTAATCATTTAATCAATCAATCGAAATAAATAAGATAAATAGAAATTAAAAATAAATAAATAACTAGATAATTATACGTTAAAGGATATTCATTGATTATATTTGGCAAACTTATCAAGTATATGTGTGTTTTCTACAAGATTCGTATTGATATGGGCTCCATTTAAGACAGATATCATTATAACCATCCACAGTTCTTTTCTTGTTATCTTGATTTCAAAAATGAACGAGAAAACAAAACATTCCACAAAGCATTATTCTCTTTTTAACTTTTTCAACATTCACTCATTTATCGGGGAGAAAATCCCATCGGAAAATAATAAATTCCCATGGGATTTTCTATCCATATGTAGAGATGATATCAACTGATAAGAAATGATTTTACAATGGCTAAGTGAAAACAATTTCTTTCTCAGTTTTCTAGTTTCTTTGTGTATCATTGCCATCTTTATCATTTATCTAAAATACAATTGCATAGAAGAAAAGAAAACAAAAACTCCCACTGCTTTTTCCATTGACCTCAGTACGATGGTTGGGAAGAAGACATTCCATGATTCACCTCAATACAGCTGTATTGATAAATATAATAAGGATCATGAGTAAAACATTGCTAAGATAGTTGTAAACAAATGAAAATGCAGTTTGCTTTAGTATACAAATTGACAGCAACATGGTCTACATTAAAGATATATTGTTTATGGAGAGAAGAAATCCTTCTTGACAGAAAACAAAACAGCTTTCAAGAGAAGATTCATGTCGATTAAACAAACAGCCAAATTCTGCATACAGTGTATTGTAAACACACAAAAATAGTAATAATAGACTAAACAAAATGGACTAGAGACAAAATGCAGATTGGTTTGAAAGAGACTCAACTTTAGCTATAAAGTTAAATGTTAAAAAGCCAATGACCCCTAAAGGAACTTCATTGAGGTTCAAAAGCCTTAAGAAATGAAGAGATAAAGGGTAAGAAAAGAAATATACTTAGAAATACAACATGTATACTTAAAAGTCAACAATTGAAAATCGCTTTTTGGCCATTATTAGCATGATACAAGCGAAAGTGTTTAAACACTTTTCAATTTTATGCAATCGCAATTATATTAAAATTATGGGCAAATTATCTAAAATTTTGCAAAGAATGATATATATATATATTGAAAAACAAGTCCAGTCCTTGAATGTAAAATATCTGAACAGAGTCCCCTAAAACAGTGTTGTTTTTTCCAATATAGTATGAGTGTTGAGAAATTGAGAATTGAATATCACACACGCCAGTGATAGGGACAAGAAAGATGTAGGACTTTCCATTATTTCTCTTGAACAAATGTAATTAAAGCGAGTCTTCCATTTTTAACAGTGAAAAATGAGCATATTTTTTCAACAAAGAAGCCTACCATGATTTAATTATTGTATTGAATGAACAGTAAAGTAAACCTATGAAACATATAGATGTATGCACATGTTGCCCAGTGAAATAATTTGCATATCTAGTGACAGATGATTGAAAATAAATTATAACATATGTCTCGACGTTGGTGGTCGTATGAAATTTATAAAATATATAAAAAAGTATTTACAATTGATTAAATTATGAAGATATACAGAGTAACAGAAATACTGATCAAACATAGAATTCATTGATGCCAGCACTATTGAGTGTTGAGAATTGAGTGAGTACCGCTCAAGCCGGTGCTAGGGGGCGTGAGGGATGTTGCACGTATTCATTATCCCTCATGTACAGACTCAATCAAACCGAGTCTGCAATTCTCTTGTAATTTTTTTGTGATTAATGCTTCCGAGGGATCACTTTGTTTCCAGATTTTTGTATACTATGAAGTCTTATGTCTATTTATTCTGAAGATCAAATAATCTGATAATTCAAAATATAGCTAATAATTTAACGATTTTAATTTGAAAGTTTGCTGAAGGAAAGTTAGGGAAACAAGCTATATGTATTGTGTTATGTTCCTTTAAACGGTTTAAACAATTTTTTACAAATTTGTATACAACCATTCTTCGCAGTTATTCAGAATAACATTCCTCTGTATTAAAAAAAGAGAATTGACAAGGCAAGGCGACGTTTACAGAACGCAGCCCCCTGGCACAATCAAGCCACATCAGCAGGGC